TCCGGGTCCCCCCCAACCTCCCCACTCTTTCCGTCGCGTTGGTCTAAGTCCTCGAGGCGGAGAGAAAGGAACCAGAGTGAAGGATGGCTACCTGTGGCGCTGCCAGGTGGCCTCGGTCACGTGGGTTCGTGGCTTCCCCTGACCTAGATTCTATCTCTCCGTCACCGGCAGAATCGCTGATTAATGCCTACAGTTCAAAATAGTCATTTTGACTGACCGGAGTCTATGGTGGGTATGAACTATGTGAATAGGCGGGTTCGGAGAACCCTCGCCTAAATTCACAGTAACCATAGCAACAAAGTGTTTTAATCAAAACAAACAATCTGCAAAAATAGCGAGTTCTTGTTGATATAAAATATCAAAATAAAGATGTTTTGAGGTTATTTGGTTGTTAAAAGTGTTCATGTTGTGAAAAATTTGTTGATGCTAAGAAATTACCTAGTTTATAAATCACCAGTGCTGACCTGAGACTGCAATTTGACATGTTATTGACACATACATACATGTACCTATCACACAGACATAAATAGTGAATTTTTTTCAGAAAATCATGCATAATGAAATAATGATCCATTTAATAATGGCCTAGAAATCAAACATCTGAAGCTCAATAAAAACAAAATGTACCATAACACTGCAAGGTACATGTATTCTTATAACTTATAAAAATACTGTAAATACATTAATTATTCACTGGGTTTTAATTTCACTATTTTCGCTAATAAAATCTGCTAAATGAAATCTACTGTACGTAAACATGTAAAATAACAATAAAATTCATTGTTTCCTTGACAATTTCATGAAAATAAAACACAGGGAATATGCTCAAAACATCAGAATAGTGAAAATAAATTTTCTCCTGAAATGTTTTTTCTGCATAACAAAATGCATGAAAAGTTTCTCAAAAGACAAAATTTCACTGAGAAACTACAATTGAATCTGAGAAAATTGAGCGAAAATAAGGCTTCGAGGGAACACTGGTTCTGATAACTACGGATTGGTTCATTTTGGCGAGCTATGTGGTTATTATCAAAATTGTTATTCTGTGCCTCAAAATAATGGGTTTAATTTAAATAATTCCATCGGCAAATTGCCACACAGTGTACGCAAGGCATTCGCATGAAATAGAACACCAAATTTGAATACAGGGTGCACGCAATGATATTCATTTGTATTTGTAATTCTTGTTACATGTATTACAACTTTCAACACTGTGCAAAAATGCATGTAATAGATATATGGCTTCTAGAAGCCACAAAAGAATGTTATTTTTATTAGATACATGTAGTATTTAGAAACACATCTCTAATGCATTTGCTCTGAACTGAATCATTAAAATAGCACTTATTTTTACCATACAAACACAAATAAAGCAAATACATTACATACAATTGTTTCTGTAAAATGGTTTTATTGTGTCTCGATCACCTCACTCGGTGCAATAGAGGTGTACGCACATGTCATGGGCACCCACTTATAAATAGACATGTGCTATTTTAGCAGTATACCAAACATATGTACACTGTACATGTAGTATTTGTTTCAGGATTTTTGTACTATCACACTTTTCACATTGTATACATGTATATGTATATTGACAGAGCCTCTTAAGAATCAAGGACAATGAGCTACCCTCCTTACGGCGGTGGTGGAGGCTATCCCCCACAAGGTGGTGGGTACCCTCCTGCTGGTGGTTACCCTCCCCAACAACAGCAGTATCCCATGGGGCAGCAGCCATACCCAGGAGGAGGAGCAGGAGGGTATCCACCAACCACAGGTTACCCGGTGAGTAGCTTTAAATGAATCCCAGTTATACATGTAGTACTGGATTTTAGGCTGTATTCTAGTAAATATATTTCCTAGTGTGTCAAGATGTTATTTTATATCCTCCTACATATACACTGTAATAACAAATCATATTAGCATTTTTTTTGAAGATATTTTATTGGGTATCCAGCAAAAAGTTGCATTGCATTTCTCTTCTATTGTTACACTTCTGCATTAAGATACCAAATGTACAGTGGTTATGATCAGAAACTATTTTTTCAATTGGAATTCAGATTTTTTGTTTTGTTCGTCAATAAAATTCTCACATTGATGTTGAACTGAACTCATTTTGCAAAAATTTAATGTGTTTTCTAAGTTGGCTAACAATGGTTCCTGTGGGTCTGAAATAATTCACACATTTTGTTTGGTGGTGATAGAACTTTAACTCATCCCAAAGGGCTACAGACTTTTTACAGTCATAGAATGCATAATAGGTGCTCTAGACATAATTTTCATACTGCAGATCTTGAGCACAGTGAAATTAACAATTTGATAACTCAAAAGATGCCAAAAAAAATGTTAATAATATGTTTCTTGAATTGTTTGCAGTTTTAGTATCCTTGCAAGTGTTAATATTTTGGGATGTTTCAGATATCTGCTAAAATGTTTTTTTTTACTCATTTACAGACTCAACCATTTCTAGTTCTCCCAACATTGACTTGATAGTTCATCTTCACCCCCCCCCTTTCCAATGTTCATTTCTTGTAGATCATGTACAAGTTGCTGACTGGATTCCTTCAATGTTAACTCATAGGCAATAATAAGTAAATAGGAGAAAACGACATGAATTGTTAAGTGAAAATTATACCAATGTGTCTATGAAATTATGTAATCTGTATTGTTTTCATCATTTATTGCAGCAAGCGCCAGCACCTGGAATGCCACAACCTTACCCTGGGGCAGGTGGTGGTGGTTATCCGGCACCTCAACCAGGATATGGTGTAAGTACATGCTGACAACATATTAACTGAGTAATAATAATACCGTATTTGCTCCAATAGAAACTCGTCTCAAAGAGACGTGTACATAAACCAAAAAATAGAGTTATTTTATGATGAATCATACTGATCATAGACTGTCATTTATGTAAGCACATGTGCTACTAATAGAACAAATATGGTCAAACTGATTTATTGGGGAAAATAGTTCTGTTCCACACAATCATAAAGTAAGCAATCACTGAATTTCTAGTTCTCATTTTAATGCTTGTATCACAAATTGTTGGCTGTGCATACATACATAGAGAAGTATAATACCTCTTCCAAAGTGTTGAGACATATTTACTATCGGTAACTTCCTGGGTTTGTTTCCAAAATGAATGGGTTTGATTTTGTGACCAGTGTTATGAGGTTATCGTATTAATGACTGGATTCTATTTCTATTGCACACCAAGGTAACCAAAGTGTTTTAATGAGATGACAATAACATGGAACGGATCTGGTGACATTTTTACGGAACAGCAAATTCAATTATTTTCAGTGCTAGATGTATAATAATTAAATAATAACACATGCTTGTGAGGGTAATATCATGATTTGTTGCCTACCCAAGGGATGGTGGTCATGACCATAATATTGATGCCAGAGCTGAAGCCAACAGCCCGAGGGCAGACAACAAATTGTGATATTGCCCGAATAACCAGGTGTTATTTATTTTATCACATCGAACAGACATCAACCATGCACAATCACATCTACCATACATCACTCACACCCGCTCTCCCACAAAATAATAACACTTATATTTGAAGTATACAATATTTTATTTTATCTATTATAACAAGTTTCACATTACTCAATAGCATACATACATTGTTTGCTGAAAAAAAAACTGTGAAATACACTCAGTAAATGTTACTCTTTTTAGTAACCGTGATTCATCAGCCTGAGTGTAAATCACTCAATTTATCGAGAATAACATTTTTGAAATGAATTGAGAAAGTTATTTGATCCATAATAATAAAAATGCTAGAGTGCCGTGGAAGTGACTGAAATTACTTTCGCACCAAAGTACCACACCTTCTACACACAGTCACACAGCTTTAGATCGTTTTCGGTTAGCATCGGTGTGGAATGCGTAGAAATGCTCACAGTGTAGAATGCGCTGAAGCGACCCGGCTGCGACGGCTTTGTCGTACATTTTTGCTTCATATAAAAATACCCTAAAAATCAAAACAGAGTATCTTACTTAATATTCATTTTGGTACGTTCGTTGTCTATTGTCTATGGATAAAGTTCCTTCAAAACCTTGAAAGCAACCCCGAAAACTACAGCGGCCGGGCAGCACCAATGCAGCAAACAACAATTTGTTATGCGCAGTATCGTTGCGCAGTAGTTTCAGTGACATCATCCATGTGATATACCCATGTAATATACCACGTAATATACCACGTGATATCCATTTTTATTCAATGTCATGTGACCAAGTCTCAACTAATCACAGCATGCGTAAGAGCAGTTAGATGTGATAATGCATTTTATATTACCTCTTGCAAAGATGTGTGGTGAAGGTGTGTAAATATGTGTATCATTGAGCAAAATATATGTGGATCCAGGGTTTAAACTACCAAAACCCAAAACTATTTTGTATACCAATTAGGTGACAGTCTGACCACAGCAAGAACACGATTGGCTGATTTAAATTCCACATGATATTGTAACCAAACCTGTCATGTGATGTATTTAATTCATGTCAATGAATGTGGTTATTTAGTCATTTTAATGTTATCTTTTGAAGAAAAAAAGTACAAAGTTGTAGTAGTTATTTTATTTTGTGAAGGAGCCATCTTTTCTCTTTACATAATTACATATCTTTTTGTTTTTCAATTTGATTCAAAAAGTTTTTACCCAATTACCGGTTTACATATATTCAGAACATACAATGTTTTTGTTGAGTTTCCATCAGCTATTTTCATTCTAAATAACTCAAAATCAGCCGCGTCTCACCAATATTTTTCATTGCAGGCTCCATCAGTCACACAGCCTCCTGCTTACGGGGGAATGCCGACACCAGAATCAGCTCAGGCTGCTGCTGCTGCCTCTTCTGCACCTGGTTATTCCAGTTATGGTGCTCCTGCCCCTGCTCCAGGTGGTTACCCATCAACTTACCCTAGCCAGCCACCAGTCCCTCCACCACAGGTGAGATATTTTTACTGCCAATTGTAGATTTATTGTTGCAGGCTTCATATAAAGGTCATGGTTATTACCATAGTTTAATGTTTATGAATATTCATGACTTCCTTTAGTTAATTTGTTGCTATTTTTATTTCCTCTATACAGCCTTCCATACCTGAGTAACTAGTGTACAGTGTAGTTGTCCTACATCATCTCAAATCAGTCAAATTTTTGGTTAAACAAGCTCTTTTCAGAAACCAACATGCAGATTACTTTGTATGTTGGTCTGCAGACACCTTTGGAGGAACTGTCACATTTGTTCTCACTAAACATATTTACATATCTTCTAATTAAAACTGGTCGGGAACTATTTCAATATCTTCTATACTGGTGAAATCACCACTTTTAGAAGCATGCATACAATCAATGTATGTACCATATTTGCTCTGTTAGAAGTGCACATAAACCAATAAAACCACTAACGGTTTGAATAAGTATATTTATATATCAAATAAAATATGCATTTTTACACACAATAAAAACAAAAAATTGGAATTGTCATGCAAGATTGAATAAAAACGGCAGTCTGAATGTAACAGTTGAAAAACGATTGAATTCTCTATGGAGTAAACGCAAGATCATGAATATTCATGAAGTAATAGAAAACAGCGAATGTCAATAATGCATGTGTCCACTTCTTCCCTGGATGACTTCTTTGGGCTGTTATACTCGTGTATAAATTCTTGATGTTAGTGACTGGTCGGGAATGCACCTCTAAGTCGCTCAACTCCCAAACGTCCTCAATAGGGTTCAAATCTCGAGACTGTGCAGGCCAATTCAAAGTGGTAAAGTTGCTGAAAAGATATTCATAGCCTTGTGGATTATTTAGAAAATCCTGTTGGAAATGGAAATTGGATTCAACGAGTCTTAGTGTCGACGGTATCATTCCGTTTTGCAGGATGTCCAAATATTTCCATCGATTCATGGTCATCAGTACATGGACTAGTGATCCTAAGCCGGTAGCCGAAAAACATTCCCACACCATGACGCTTCCACCACCAAATTTTATTGTAGGTTTAACTTGTACTCTTCACCTGGAGCCTTCAGAAATTCCCAGTCTTCTTGCTATTCCCCTGTTAGGAACTCCTTCTGTATACAGTGCTTCAATGTTCCCTTTGGTAAATTCTGACAATTCCCTAACTTTCGGCATGGCTCAATGTTTGTAAATAAAAATTACGTATCTGACACTATGACCTCCATAGGAATATTCATGAACTACAATTGACAGGTATTCCCTCCCAGAAGCACGTGTTGAAATAATTTCAGCTTCCTGGTTAGTTCAAATTTGCATGAGAAAGGATACAACTATCTCACATGTTTTATGGGACGAAATTTAATTAGATGCAAATGATATGCAAATGAGCGCGCTCCCATAGAGTTAACCATGGCGATTTTCGCCCACTGAAAAAACGTCTACATACATAAAACTAAACACAAATAAACCATTTTATTTTGCCTAAAATGCACTAGTTAAATTTAGTATATTTTAAAGACAACACATAATGTTACATAGAATTGTTATTTTTAATTACGAAAACTATCAAATGACAGGTGCGTAAATACTTTCTGGCGGTCTGTATATATATATATATAAATAAAATAAAATATATGTCATTTACCTAAGTGCCACTAGTAGAACAAATACAATATTAAAAAAAGTTGTTATACTTTTAAATACATGAATACATGTCCAATGCTGTGTAAATTTTATTTAGGTTTGAGTATCAATATTTTTATTCATTTCTGTTATTGCTTGGCCTAAAGAACTGGACTTTTACTGCACTGTGAGGAACAGACTATATCTGCTGCCCTCTATGTTGTCATAGTGACTGCTAGTTGTCAAATTCTTTTTTACACAAGTTAAAAAGTTTTAATTTTATACCTCCCATTTTTAGTATTCTTCTGGTCCCGGACAAAATATGCCCTACCCCAGCAATCCATCAATGCCTCCCAGTGTTGCAGGGGTAAGTCATGTGTGATCACTAACAGACAATGTGTAGTTCTCTGAGGTTGTCTATTCCGTATTTGTCCTCAAACGCTTTCTTTCAAAATACCGACCTTAGACGTAAAAGGCTGCTGAGGTCTTGTTGAGAGCGAGAATACAACAAGTTTTGTTCTTTTCTCTCACATCATCACTTTTAATGTTGCCATAGTTACATTGGTCCAGGGAATGTTGGACAGTAGGAGAAAATGGAACACATTTAAGGATCAGAAACAAGTCTCTCCCTCAATGAGATCTTGGCGGTCACTGCGTTTAAGGAATTGTTTTAATTTGACATATTGTTTTGAATATTGCTAGTCAAAGACAACTGGGAAATTTTGTAGCCATGATCATTTCACTGTGGTCATTAAGATGTGAAGTCACATTGATGAACATGCAATGGTTCACATTTTATCTTTTTGTTCCATTCTGGTTTTATCATTGACAAAAATTTAAGAATTTCTTGTTGTTGGTATGAAAGTGTTTGAAATTAAAAGCGAATACAATTTTAATTTGTTTGTCTAAAACAAAATTAATATGGTGTGTATAATTCACTAAATGTGTCTTGAAATATTATAGAAATACTAACAAATATTGCTCTGTGGATATATTGCATGTTACCATAGCAACTTGAATGTGTTAATTTGTTTGTTGTCACTTGGGTTCTTTTTTTCAAAATACTGTAAAAGCATTTTTCTTGTATTTTAATTATACATGTACTATATCTATACTACCGGGGGGTAGTCTTATTCACTATTCTAATGTAATGACAGAACGTGCAGTTCCATTTTATTTTATATCATGTATACCATCGTCTTATAAAACTATTCAAAATAGTTAAATGTTTCGAGCAATGACTCTCTATCAAAAGCATTGAAGAAAATATATATGTATAGGTACACGCACAGCAACTATGAAATGTATACACGCACCAGGTAGTACAGGGGATAAGTTCAAGTTTGTTTCCTGTGTTTCTTCAATTCCAAGGTTCCAAGTTCCCTCTTGTTCAGCAACTGATCTCCAAGTTGAGAAAGATTCTATACCATTGTCACAATAATTTGTAATAATGAATTGAAATAATCCTCCTTTCTACTTTCTTTACTACCGGTATCTACATAATAGTATGTGATGTATTCCAATGTGAAATGTCTATCATTATCTAGAGCTTTGTCAATCCAGAAATTGCTAGTTTTCAGTTAGGCTGGTGGAAATTTATTTTTTCTGCATTAGTATAGACCCATACTACTGCACGATTCCAAATGTACAGTTTTTTTTTTGTAATAAAGTAGAGAGACTGACATCTATATTACTAATATTAAGCAACACTTGTATTCCATATTTGTTTTATGAGATATGTACATGTTCCAAAACGACTAACATCGTGCAGGCCAAGGTTCGTGCTTATCTGATAAAAGTAAAACAACTACTTCTATCTTAGGCATACTTGTACCTCTATTGAACATCTCTTCTAATACAACAAATATGGGTTATCTTTTGTTTTTACAACATTGTGTTTAAAATTGTAAAATTCCTCACAAGAATGTTGTGGTCCATCCTAATGTGCAAACTGTTTACTTATCCATTGTGCTTCCATTCATTGCAGACTGCTTATCAAACTCAGGCACCCTATGGAAGCCAGCCTTATGGAAATGTACCTCCACCTGCCTCAGTAAGTGCTCTTTTGCATCACATAATTAATATTGCACCATAAACTACTCATTTGTTAGGTACAGTATGGCTCTGCACAACCTGTTATTCATATCACATTGGGGTTGTGTATTCATCACATTGGTATTTATCCATATTGTGTCTCAGTGGTTTGCATACATGTAACATGTATTGATGTCACATATTTTAACCACTGGTGGAGTGATCTCAACATTGTATTATGGAATAAGTTCTAGGATTGCCCATGTCTATGAGTTATTCCTTTAAAGAAAATTAACAAGGCTGACCAAGTCTATTCGATTCAGAGTGTACTATGGTAAAATGTGTAATAAATGAATGTGCAAATATAATATAATGTGATAAATGTGTGATGCAAATGTGATAAATGTGTGATGCCATTGTGATAAATGTGTGATGCAAATGTGATAAATGTGTGATGCAAATGTGATAAATGTGTGGTGCAAATGTGATAAATGTGTGATGCAAATGTGATAAATGTGTGATGCAAATGTGATAAATGTGTGATGTAAATGTGATAAATGTGTGATGCAAATGTGATAAATGTGTGATGCGAATGTGACAAATGTGTGATGCGATTGTGAATATGTGATGTGATAAGTGAGTGATGCAAATGTGATTAATGTGTGATGCGATTGTGATGAATGTGTGATGTGATAAGTGAGTGATGCAAATGTGATAAATGTGCGATGCGAATGTGACAAATGTGTGATGCGATTGTGAATATGTGATGTGATAAGTGAGTGATGCAAATGTGATTAATGTGTGATGCGATTGTGATGAATGTGTGATGCGATTGTGATGAATGTGTGATGTGATAAGTGAGTGATGCAATTGTGATAAATGTGTGATGCAAATGTGATAAATGTGCAATGCGATAAATGTGCGATGTAAATGTGATAAATGTGTGATCCAAATGTGATAAATGTGCGATGCATTTGTGATAAATGTGTGATGCAAATGTGATAAATGTGTTATGCGATTGTGATAAATGTGCGATGCGAATTTTGATGAATGTGTGATGTGACAAATGTGCGATGCACTGTGACAAATGTGTGAATGTGATTGATGAATGTGTGATGCAAATGCGATAAATATGTGATGCAAATGTGCGATGCAAATGTGATAAATATGTGATGCGATTGTGATAAATGTGTGTTGCGATTGTGATAAATGTGTGTTGCGATTGTGATAAATGTGTGATGCGATTGTGCTAAATGTGTGGTGTGATAAGTGAGTGATGCAAATGTGATAAATGTG